GCCTCTTTTGCCTCTTTACGATGGATAGAGGAAGCCCAAATGGCTGGTTTAAAAAAAATCTGCTTGTTTTTTAAATTAGAAATTCACATTCAGCAGGGGTTGGAAGCAGAGAGCTAGCAAAATGGTGAGATCACAAGAGCCGAGAGAGTGAAAGTTCAGCTATTAAGAAGGGGGGGAACATGGGCTATTTTGTCAGACTGCTCAAAATTACCACTTTGGATAAAGATATCCTTGCTTAAAGGTTCTAAACCCTTCACTCCTTCAGCTAGAGCTCACAATCAACATCCCTGAGACCTCCCAGAAGTTCTCTAGCTAAGCCAGACTTGACATTCCTGATAATTCTAAGGTCAAAATTAAACAATAATTATTTTTTTAAACCTCACATCTTTCAGGCCTTTTTTGTAAGCCATAAAAAAGCGATAAATGGTACAAACCCACTTTAAAAAAAGTCTTTTCCAGCTCAACTCTAACATCTCAGAGAGTGAGTTATGCAGGCTGACTATCAGGAAAGATATAGCTAGCGGTGAGCTCTATGGAATAGTCTCCCTGGAGAAGCCTCATTACTGGAGTAACTTAAAAACTAACCTGAAGAAGACTTGGAAGGAGAATCATGATGGTTCTTTTTAGTTTTATGATTCTGTGATGTATGTTACACTGTATTGATCACGAAACCTGAAAAAATGATATTTACCAAGATGAAGGCTCTGAATCTAGAAACCTTGCTTTGGAAGTGATTTAGATTCCGAAGAATTCATTTTTGACACCATTTTAGACCAACCGTCTAATTTTCCAAAGTGTGTAGCAATGTGGTCAGTCATAGTTGTGGTTGCATTGCTAACTAACCCACACACTTCTTTGAAACATAGAGGGTGAATGGCCAGTCGTTCATTTCTCTCATCTTCCAGCCCTGCTGGTGAGTTTTTTTGTTATTAAGGGGGTGGTACCGTTCCGGTAACAGAGGGGTGGCATTTTCCCAGCTCTTACCTTGCCAAAATGCTATCAAACGTAAACGAGAGGTGGAGTTGCAGAATTCGTTTTCTTTGCCTGCCTGTCTGAAAATGTATTTTCAGATAAGCAAATTCAGCAAAATAGTATTAAACACATGGCCAATGAGTGAAATACAGAAAAGTGCCTGGAACCCCCCCACACACATACACACACACAAAACCCTAGATATTATAGGACCTTTAAAATAGTGTTGGCTCCCATGTACTGTTATTACACATCCTCTGCTGAAAGCCGTACACACTTCTCAATTTTGAACCTCCTGTGTGTTTCCTCATATTTTCAATCAAATTATTACATACTAGAAATATGCATATGGGAAATTATTCTACACATTTTATGGTGTGCTGTTGCTTGTAGCAGTAATTGCAGTACCTTTTCCACTTATGAAAGTACTAATTTTATTTGGTTTTATTGCTTTTCTAGATGCAATTATTTATTTAGTATGTTTTGGCTTTATTAAATTATGTTTACTATAGGAACATCATAAAAATGTATGAAAGCAACACATCAGCCAACGTTGCCCGATGACCTGTTTTGGGGAATCTAGTGTTATTTTTCATATCCAAACATAATAGAATAAAGTAGGAATAAAGAGATAATCTACACTAGAAAACAATGCAATTTTGAGATAATATAATAAAACACCTGGACAATATGATTTCATGAATCTTAGTTCTAAAATTTACATGAGCTGGGCGTCGGGTGGCTATTTTAGGACACACGGCATTTTCTAAATGGAAACAAACGTGAAATGTAATTAAACAGCAGAGGGGAACGCAAACATGGGTTGAGTTTGCCCCTAGCTATTGATTTCTACAAAGCTATGTAAACATTTCCATTGCAAAGGATGAACTGGCACAGTCTTGAGCAATGCAGAGCTTTAAACTGGCAATGACCAGTTTGCCAAAGCTCACCAGATTCAGTCTTGGAAGAGTCTCCACCTGCATCATGCAATTTTACATTTAGGGCCCACTCCAGTTCTCATTGAAGGCAATGGCAAAACTCCCAGTCACTTCAGGCTTTTAGGGTGGATCTCGTGCTGTATGTTTTACATTGTAGCCTAAATGATTTGCGTATTCTTACTGTTCTGATTAATGGGACATTAAATTAGCAGAGCTCCCTATTTTAGGTTTTGTATTAAATAAAAGCCAGCTTGGGGGTGGGGTGAGGGGCACAGACGATTATGAAACCTCCAAAGGGCACTTCAGTCTAGCAGAGAAAGGCTGAAGATCCAATGGCTGGAAGTTGAAGCTAGACAAATTCAGGCTAGAAATAAGGAGCACCTTTTTAAGAGTTAGGGTAACTAACTGTTGGATCCACCAAGGGATGTGATGTATTCTCCAACATTGGAGTCCTCAAATCAAGATGGGATGCACATTTTGTAAAAATGATGTTCTAGCTCAGTCACGAGGTCCGAACTTGACGCAAGAATCACTGGGTGATCATGCAGGAGGCCAGACTAGATGATCACAATAGGCCCTCCTGGCCTTAAACGTCTATGATCTATGAAAATGAACAGAAATTTGATACCCCAGTTTTGCAGCATTGTGCCATGCAGAAATTGAGGTTGAATGGGATTTACTCATGTACTCGAAGATAAACACATGAGTGTTTGCAGGAGTGAGGCCATTGGTCCTAATCCTGCAAACCACCCTTACTCACCCACCTAGCCCCTCTTCCTGTGAGTTGACTTCAACGAGATACCACTTCCTCAGCAGACTCAACCCGAGGACAGGGGTGCAGGAACAGACCTATGGAGAGGATATAATGAAATGAGATTTGTGCTGGAAAAACGCAAGCGAGTATATCTGAAAATAAACACAGATACTGAATGATATTCAAGGCAAAAATGAAGAGAGTCCAGATAATAGCAACAGAAGAGGATTAAGGGACTGACTCAGAGGGAATAGTCACAGAGTCCAAAAAAGAGCTCTGTGTAAGCACAAAAGCTTGTCTCTCACACCAACAGAAGCTGGTCCAAAAAAGGTATCACCTCACCCACCTTGTCCCTCTAATATCCTGGGACCGACACGGCTACAATACTGCATATATCAACACTAGTCACTTCAGAGTGTGAGAGACTGGAAGACCCAGGATATAGGTCCCATGTCCTGAAACCAGTCTGAATCCAGATGAATTGAACAGTGATATATCACCTGATGGCTGTTCTGTGGCATATTTATAATTAGTTAAATAAAACGACACATGTTAACTCAGTTGTCTGTATCTTGTTTTGGGTCAAACATTCACCAATTTTAACAATGCTTTAGCCTCTTTGGGGCAGGGACCTTGGCCTAAGTCTGACCTCATCTAAAACAGGAGAGACCCCATTGAAGTCAAGCACCACAGTGGTGTACAGTCAGGGTAAGAGGAGAAACTGGCCTTTGGCTTATTCTGTAAGGCACTGAGGAGAGTTTTAGGTAATGTAAAAACATGACATACCAATAACAGTGAGTAAAAGTGGCTGCCTCTGAGTCTGATTGTTGTGTGATGGACACTGGTGCATGTGAGGAGCACAGCTGGTAGAAATTTCTAATACTTCGAAATTTGAAAATAAAGGGGGAAATGGAACATTTTTCTGACCAACCACACGGCTGGTGGCCACTTTTCAAATACTGAACTTTTGAATTGAGAAATACAAAAACAAAAATTCAAATTGCAAAATTTTGGAAAAAAAATAGGTACAAATTCCCCCCAAAAATATTGTCATAAATATAAAGGGAAAGGTAAACCCCTTTAAAATCCCTCCTGGCCAGAGGAAAAATCCTCTCACCTGTAAAGGGTTAAGAAGCTAAAGGTAACCTCGCTGGCACCTGACCAAAATGACCAATGAGGAGACAAGATACTTTCAAAAGCTGGGAGGAGGGAGAGAAACAAACGGTCTGTGTCTGTCTGTATGCTGCTTTTGCCGGGGATAGAACAGGAATGGAGTCTTAGAACTTTAGTAAGTAATCTAGCTAGGTATGTGTTAGATTATGATTTCTTTAAATGGCTGAGAAAAGAACTGTGCTGAATAGAATGACTATTCCTGTCTGTGTGTCTTTTTTGTAACTTAAGGTTTTGCCTAGAGGGATTCTCTATGTTTTGAATCTAATTACCCTGTAAGGTATCTACCATCCTGATTTTACAGAGGTGATTCCTTTACTTCTATTAAAAGTCTTCTTGTAAGAAAACTGAATGTTTTTTCATTGTTCTAAGATCCAAGGGTTTGGGTCTGTGGTCACCTATGCAAATTGGTGAGAATTTTTACCAAACCTTCCCCAGGAAGTGGGGTGCAAGGGTTGGGAGGATTTTGGGGGGAAAGACGTGTCCAAACTATGTTTCCCAGTAAACCCAGTTAAAGTTTGGTGGTGGCGGTGGATCCAAGGGCAAAGGATAAAATTAATTTGTACCTTGGGGAAGTTTTAACCTAAGCTGGTGAAAGTAAGCTTAGGAGGTTTTCATGCAGGTCCCCACATCTGTACCCTAGAGTTCAGAGTGGGGAAGGAACCTTGACAGATGTTCATGATTTTTTTCTCTCTTCCTTCCCGCCAACCCCAAGCAAGTTCTAGTGAGGAGTAAACTGGTTTGCTGCAGCATAGAGCTGAGAGGAAAACAAGGCCTATTGAACCAGATTTTTTTAAAGTATTTACCCATCTAGTTCCCAGTGAAATTCATAGGAGGTAGGCAGCTGAACACCTTTAAAATCTGGCTCATTGGGTAAGACACTACAGCAGTCCTTCGTACTCAGCCGTTCCACTGGGAGGGCCATAAGAACCTTGTAACTATTTATTTTAAATTTAGATTAAATCTCAGGCAAAACGTCCTAACTGTAAGGCCAGTAGGACAGTGGGACAGATGCCCAGGGCGGTTGTGTCAAAAGGAGGCTGGATAACCGTCGGTCTTGGATGGTTTAGACACAACAAATCCTGCATCTTGGCAGGGGGTTAGATATGATGATCCTTGCAATCCTTTCTAACCCTATGGTTCTATTTTGTGGTTCTGTTTTGTAGCCTAAAATTGCAGAGGAGAACTTAACGTACGCCGAACTTGAGCTGATCAAGCCCCATCAGGCAGCCAAAGGTGTGCCCACCACGACGGTCTACGCCCAGATCCTGTTTGAGGAGAACAAGCTGTAAAAGCCGGTGTCTGGCTAAATGTTCTTTGGCCGCGTTGTATTTAATTCTTGCTGTGCTGTTTATTTATAAAAATCATACAAATGTTCTTATTTTTTTACTTCCATTCATGCACTTCAATTTTTTATGAGACTTTTTAAAAAACTGTAGTTGAAAGGAAATGTAGCAAGTGTAAAATGACAAACCATTGCCACAGAACCCCTTTCTGTAGCACTCAGCAGCACCCTGGGTCATTTGCAATGTTATTTCCACTTCCATGCAAATCTGAGATCTGAACACAAAAGAGACCAGCTGAGATAGAGATGTCCATAGCCAAGCAAGCCCAGAAGCTCCGGTGATTGGATCTACCGCGGTAAGCCTGACGCCCAGGGCAAGAGTCAAGCTGGTGAGGAATTTTTCAGTGAAAAATCAGAAAATGCCAATTTATCAAAACCAGAACTTTGCCCAGGAAAGAGTTGGTTTTAATGAATTTTTCAACTAAAAAAAAAATTTTCTTTTCAAGTTTTGAAATTGTCAAAACTTTTCATTTTGATATTTTCTAACTAAAGAATTCTGGTTTAAAACTACTTTTTGTTTTTAAATCGAAGCTAACGATAGTTAAAAAAAAAGAATTAAAAATGGTCAGCATTGAAACAAAAGGTTTTGAGATTACTGAAACAAACCATTTCAATTGACCCGAACCAATTTCCGGCCACCTGCCCTCCACATTCCCAATTTGTGAAGATTTTGACTTATCCAGATTTTGGATGGGATTTTTGGGGCGGGGGGATATCTTGAAAAGCATAGGGAAAGGAAAGCTGTTTCCCATCCAGGTCTAGGCAAACTCATCCACTCGCTTCACCCTCTACAAATCTGCCCAGACCAGGGCGGGTAGAGAGTTGAGCCTAGAGCCCCCTAATGTGTTGTGAGTTGGGCCCAGGATGTTAAGACATCTCACTTCTTTCTGCTCTCTGAATTGATTAGCATGGATCCCCTTTCTCCTTTAGTTTAAAAGAAGGTGGGTGCTGAGCCCCAGGGCCTCTCTTTCTCTGATCTCTGGCAAACGCACTGCAGAGCGCTCCACCAGGGAGGAGACATGGGCTGGGATTTTCAAAAGAACATGTGAGTGTTAAGACACAACACCCATTGCAGGTCAGTGGGAGTTGGGCTCCCTTCTGCCTCTCCAGGTCATGGCCCATGTGTAATTCGTCTCTGGGTGGGGACACCAAAGCCAAGATTTTCAATGTTAGGCTCCTACATCCCCTTTAGGCTCCTCGAGCCCCTTGTTTTGAGTGTGCAGAGCCCTCAGCAGTTCTCTCTGACGTCAGCGGGAGCTGCTGGGGGCTCAGCACTTTTGAAAATCAGGCCACTTATTGAAGCTCCTACATATGGACTTTGGAGCCGCACTTTTGGGCCCTTATTTTTTGAAAATCTTGACCAGATTGGCAAAAGCTGCATCCTCACGGGCTGGCTGGGCCTTTTTGATGATGTCACAGCCAGGTGCCCAACAGTACGCAGCTGGGACCCCACTTCTGAAATGGTCAGACGCTACCCTGCAGCCAGTGTGCCAAGTGCAGGGGAAGAGAGGAGAGATGTTGATGAGGGGAGGACGCAGAAAACCAGGTCAGAGGTATCTGCAGGGATGGGAGGAGTGGGGAAGAAGGGTGACAACGTAAAGGAGAAGCTCCCCTTTAGCTCAAAAACTACCCCCTCCAAAGTGCAGCACTCCTCACCCCCCTTTCCTTCCCAACCCAACCCAGTCGTGAAACCTCTCTCAGGTCCCATCCCCCCAGATTCCTAACCCCTGGCCCAGGCTCTGAAACCCAATCCACACGCAGGGAGCCTTTCCTGCTTGGCTACCCCCCCCTTCAGCGTCCCCTGACCTACACTCACACACATAAACAGGCAAAGGTCAGCCCCTCCCACACAGCACACGCACCTGTTGCTGCATCTGCAGGAACTTTGGAGAGGGTTTGCGGCTACAGGCAGCAGGGGGCGCCACACACTGCATGGGGGACTCTAACCTGCCCTTTGGGCTCTGCTTACTGCCTGGAGCCCACCTGCTGCAGGGAGAGGGTTGCCTGATGGCGCTGGAGCACAACCAGGAGTCTCCCAGTGGTAGCAGGGGCTAGTGCACCGAGCAGAACACCAGCCCTCTCCCTCTGCAGCCTTGAGGGCCACGGGCGGCGTGTGGCCTGAGTGAAGTCACAGCCTTCTGCCCTTCCCAAGGGGAGAGGCTTGTAGCAGCAGAGCCAAGGAAGCCACACAGAATTATAGACCAGCAGTAGCAGATGTCCCCGCTGGATTGGACCCTTGTAGATCCTCATTTGCAGCCTATGGGAAGTATTTTCCACTCCTCCTGCACTGGGGATGCCCCTCAAGTATAGCACTTAGCTAGAGTCACCCAAGGCAGCATGAGATGCAGAGTGTGGGTTGGGTTCTATCCCTGTCCGATCCGGATCGGTTCCAGCCGGTTAACACATACATTGTAGCTGCTGAAATCCAGCGACAGGCCAAAGTGCAAGGACTGGGAATGGGCACTAGCCATTTTAGAATGACAGTTTCACATCGATGTAGCATGCGGTAGTTAATGCTTCAATTCTGGTATTGCCTGGGGATTTGAACAGTCCTTGCCATTCTGATGAACCCCCCCCCCCCATCCCCTCGCAATGCAGCTTTAGAAAGGCACCTAAGAGCCCAAAGGGCAGGTTAGAGTCCCCCATGCAGTGTGTGGCGCCCCCTGCTGCCTGTAGCTGCAAACCCTCTCCAAAGTTCTTGCAGATGCAGCAACAGGTGCGTGTGCGGTGTGGGAGGGGCTGACCTTTGCCTGTTTAGGATCACAAGTCCCACTGAAAGAAGAAGGTATTTGCACTCCAAAATCCCTTAGTGCTTTTGAAGATCTCTCCCTTGTATTCTAAAATCACGTTCCCCACTCGTTCATTTTTGCCTAAGATTGTGAGTTGATATTTTGTCTGTGGTGGATTTGGGCAAAATTGTGCTCTCAGGTGCACACAGACAGATCACGCCTGTATTTATGGCATGCCCTTTTTTCACTTTGGGCATTCTTACACTGCCTAACCAAACTGACCATGTAAGGCACTACTTTATTTTATTTTAGTGTGTCAAAACAACCTAAGAAATTCCATGCAAAGAAAAGGAGTACTTGTGGCACCTTAGTCTCTAAGGTGCCACAAGTACTCCTTTTCTTTTTGCGAATACAGACTAACACGGCTGTTCCTCTGAAACCTGTCATCATGCAAAGAAACTACATTAAGAGCACTCTACTTAAGGTTGCAAAGTCAAGCACTCAAAAATAAATAAATCAGGAAGTATAAAGTTGAGGTCATGTATGCAACTTTAATACTGAGCTGTTGAATATATAGTATGTTACTATACAATTTTTAATCACATTGTATTATTTCTGCAGAACCCCTGCCTCACCCATTGCACAGCTAGGATGGCAGAAGTTTTGCATGTAGAGAGCACAATTTTGCCTTTTATGAGGGTTCCCTTGGAAGAGATTAGTTTTTGTATAAATCAGGTTTTTAAACCTCTTTTTTTAAATGGGTACATAATATTTTACATAGTCAACATAATTTATCTTGTAAACATGGTACGTATAATGCAGTCATCTGTGTGTTTCCATCTTAGCTAAGTTGCTTTGGAAAGAGAAAATGTTAAGAACAACTAGGTAAACTTGTTGTATAATATTAATACCATATTCAGCCCCTTTTCAGAACAACCAATCATTCTCAAGCTGGCCCCGATTTCTGTAAGTAGTTTGTTGCTAGTAACTATTTGAATGAATAATATTCAGGCTTGTGAGCTGTTGAGAAAATGTTCATTTTGCCATTCAGAGGATGGTGTTGTCTATCTAAGTGGGATGATATTTTTCCTGCTCTCTCATTGGGTGACACACATTATGAATGTGAGACTAACCAAAGGTTAACAACACTCTTCCAGTGGAATCTTTTAATCAATAATAATTTGTGCTAAAATTCATGAAACATTCAAGGATTATTATGGACATTTTTGGAACATCTGGTTATCAACTGAATGCCCCCAACAGGTGAAATTCACCTTGTACAGAAAACTGAAAAGATGCTTTGTCCATGTGCACACTGGTGAATTTCATTTTCATGAATAATCTGACCCCATAAACATCAATGAACTGGTCATGTGCTTTTATTTATGAAAATATCCCAAAATCTAGGTTTTAAACAACTTTAGTCACAAACAGCTGGACATTGGGCCCCTTGTTTAGAAAAATGCACTACTCCATGTTTAATCTTTGCCCAATATTTTAATGAATACCTTTGTTCATGTATTAAAGTTATGTGTAGTCTTGCCTATATCTAATTTCCCACATTAACAGTTGATTGAGCTAAATAAATTACCTTTTCCTTTTCGGTGAGAAGTTCAGTCAGCCTCTGTAGAATTTTTTGCTTGCTGTAGAAAGGTCAAATGGATATTGAGTGCGAAATTCCATGATTTCCGACTTTCCATTCCAAAATGGAATAAAACAAAAAAAAAATCTGAATTTCCTGCAAAAAAAAAAATCCAAAAATTCATTTGGAGTCCCTTGAATCATTTAATTTAGGTTAAATCAAAAGGTTGTCTTTGTGATTTTGACTTTTAAAAAAAAAAACATATGTAACGTAAAATGTTAAATAATTGAAATGAAAAGTTGTTTGTAAACAGAAAATTGAAACATTCCATTCCAAAGAGGTCAAAATTTGACCTTACCAAAACACTTTTTAAAAAATTTCTCTCTTGAAACACAATTTCATCGAAATCGGCACATTTCCATGAAATGTTTTGCCTTCAGCAAATCAGCATTTTCCAACAGAGAAATGTTCCATAAAAAAAATTCCGACTAGCTCCAATAATTATTGAGAAAGATTCACCAAGGTGCATAAGCATGTGCTTAACTTTAAGAACGCATTAATCCCATTTTCCCCTGCACACAAAAAAAAGAAAAAAAAGAAAGAGCCTCCCCTTGTTTCTAGAATGGGGGTGAGGGACATGAAAATGTTTTTATTCATACCTTTTATTCCACAGTATTCATACCTTACCAAGTAGCCACCAAAAGGAACGACAAAAGGAAAA